TTTAAGGGTGCCGTAATATATTCCGTAGTAGGGTCGCTTTATGTTGCTTTATCCCAAATAGGGTGATAGGGCTCCCCCTACAGGGTTTTGTAGATGGGTTCCTAGGAGCATATGGAGTTTAGGGTTTCAGGGGTCAAGCTGGGCAGTAAGGGCAGCAGTCGAGTCCCTTGTGAAAAAAGGGGTTTGCTTCGTTATGAGTGAAAGCAATACCCTGAGTCTTAACTTCTGACCCGAAGCACTAAACCCTGAAAATCGCCAACGGCTGAGTTTCCAAGGAGTTCCCGCGAGCATTCGTAAGATTTTTGTGCCATGCCACTAGTCCACGTGCCGAATGGATAGCAGATGCCTAGAGCACTATGTCAGAAGTTGCATGTTCTAGGCATTTCCCCTCCTCAGGTGTGTGTGCATGCTGTTGCAACTGTCGCTGTGCAATGACGGTACACGGGCTTGGGCTTGTGCTTTCAACACTTCTGTGGGACATCAAACGCTTGTCTAAGGTGTCTACACTTATCAGTAGGCTGTGGGTTTCAGGGGCCACTTGCCACGTACTCCATGAACTGGTGAAGTATACCCGGTATAGAAGTTTCTCACTCTCAGCAGTTTTGTTCGCTTGCTTTTCTTGGCTCCTAAACTGCCAAGCTTTTCCCAGTGTGGGTAGTCTACTGACATGAGCCAGTCGGCAGAAGCGTAGAGCCAGTTAGATAATTAGATCCGAAGCACTGAATCAGAAATCCATAGACCATTTTAGCTCCTATAGACTAATAACTAATAAGAGGCCTTAATTCGTTCGCAGAAAACGGGAGTTCTGATGAATATTGTTTCCATGACTACTCTAGTGTATCTATATAGGGACGAAATGTTGACATGATCTTAGATTATCAATTACACTGATTCTGAAGGCCCCTTGTTGATGCACCCACAACCTCCCCAAACCCAAAACGCTAAACCCCAAACCCGAGCCGGAACTACCGCAAAAAAACTGGCCCGCACCTACAAAAGCCTGGACGGCCCAGTGGTAGGAGTCGGCGCTGTCGCAGAACAGCGATGGCTGGCTAACTGTCCTAGTGCAGTTACGATAAAACAGGGATCCTATACCTTACGAGGTCCCCTTAGAGACGGCCATGGTTTAAACCCTGAACCCTAAACCCTAAACCCTTAGAGACGGCCATGGTTCGACTGAATAGCTGCCATGGCAATGAGTTCAATCCGCTGTTCCGGAGCGACATGGGCTCGGAGTCGGAGGCCTGGTCTGGGCGCTTTGGGAGTGTTTTTTGTGTATTAGGGTTTAGGGTTTAGGGTACCAGGGTATTAGGGTATTAGGGTTTAGGGTACCAGGGTACTAGGGTATTAGGGTTTAGGGTATTAGGGTTTCGGGTATTCGGGTCACTTCTGCTCCGGCTCTCTCGACTGAACTTTGGGGTTGAGGATGTAGGATAGATTGTCCTGGCGGGGCGGTGCTTCTGAGCGAGATGACGGTGTGGACGACAACCAGGACCAGGACTCAGGACGAGGACGATAAGTCCTCTGGGCATGATGATGTAGATGATGATGTGACAGCGAGAATGCTGGTGATGATACAGATGCGACTGGCGCTGGGGGCTGCCATGAATTTCATGGTTGGGATGATGATGGGTGGTCATCCTAGTATTGGTTGAGGGATTGGCAGTAGTTGTGGCAGTCGTCGTCGTAGTCGTCGTGGTAGTAGTAGGAGGAGGAGGTGGGAGTCGGAGTGGGAGTGGGAGTGGGAGGCGTGGTATGTTACCGAGTTTTCAGGACCACCTCTTGCAATACTGCCCATGTTGTCGTTACTAGCACTGACGCTTTTTGCCATCGTGGTTATAGTACCCCCACTCTCGGACTTTCCAACTTGATCACACCAGAGCGCCGATCTAGAACTATCTGCATAACCCTGATTGCTTCTGTGCGATATACCGCCATTGTCGAGTCCACTTTAACTATGCCACCTTGTCGCTCCTCATTGTCAGACTTATCTAGAATACCGCGACTGTTTTACCATGGCGACCTTGACTATTCGGGCAGTCTTGGCCCTTTTTGTGCGAAGTTTCACTCAAAGACGGCTCTAGACCTTGTCTTGCTTCAGCTGCACAGTGCTAGCTTCATCCTCTTCCCGGTGTTGAAGTTCGGTAGAGGATCCTATTGTGTCTGTGTGGGCAGTTCTATAAATTTAGGTCTCCTTGAGGTCCCCAATATAGTGCTTACAAAAGACCCTAAAATGAACCCTAATTTAAACAACTACACGCATGGTGTAGGGCTTGGCATTGTGGGCATACAGACATGAACTTCCGACGGATGGATCTAAGCTAAGGGTGTACTCAGTGTACTCCGTGGGCACTATACCTCGAACCCTAAACCCCAAAGCCCCAGTGCTTTCCGGTCAGGAGGGCAGCGACGAGAGCAAGGATGACGGTGGAGAGGAAGGCGAGGCTGAAGAGCCCGATCCTGCCTCTGGGCTGAATTGAAAATAAGGGTACCTGGTATTGGGCTCCATTGTATTATGGATCCGGTTGTTCAGGGTTTACATTACATTACGGGTTCCTTACTTTCTGAGCCGATTGAAGACGCACGTTTCGGTTTGCAGGTTTAGGGTTTAGGTGTGTGAGTGTGGGAAGTTTAAAAGTTTAGGTTGTTGAGTGAGTTGAAGAAGTCCTTGTGGCTGCCTCGCAACACACAGTGCACATAAAAGGACGTTGGCAACAGTCGCGGAAACATATGTCACCGTGAATGAGGCATCGGCACAGATATATGGCCTCTAATGTGGAGGTTTCAATAATTAGCATGTCCCGATATCCCTCTATAGTTTTACATTGCTTTACCATACTTTGACCCCACCTAACTCCAAGGAAATGATTAAGGCCCCAAACCCTAAACCCTTAACCCTTAATGATGTAACCTTTGGCCTTCCAGGCCGCCACGTCCTTAAATGCCTAGTCCTAGGTAGTATTAGGGAGACCCTTTAAAGGGGACCCTTCTTAACCCTACTTATGGCTCTCTTAAAAGGGGCCTTATTGAGAGGGTCTATATCGCCAAGGGTCCCCCTAATCCTACCTTTTACCTGGCCAGACGACATGAGATGTCAGGGGAGCTCCGAAGCCGGGTCTGTGAAGCTGCCAAAGCACCTGGCAATAAGGGTTTAGGGCTTAAGGTTTGTAGGGTTTAGGGTTTAAGGTTTGGGGTTTAGGGTTTAAGGTTTGGGGTTTAGGGTTTGGGGTTTAGGGTTTAGGGTTTGAGGTTTAGGGTTTAGGGCAATCTTCGTGAGAGTCCCCTATTATGCTTACAGTATGTAGCCGCCAAAAGCCTTGTCTGACCGTTCCCTGCACCCAGGTATGCGCACACATATGTATATACACACATACACACATGTTTATATACACGTGTACATAAAATCTGTGTAATTTTAGAAGATCCCAGGACGACCCAGAGCCTCTGGAAGACCTGGATGGAGCTTTCGCCGACGCGAGAGACTGCTGGAAGATCGATGCGGAGACTCTGAAAGGCTCGCTCCTTAGGGTTTGGAGTTCGGGGTCTAGAGTTTGGGGTGTAAGGTTGAGAGTTTAGGTTTCTTTGTTGGGAGGCTTGTTGGGTTTGGAGCTCGGGGTTTAGAGTCAGCGGTGTAGGGTTCAGAGTTAGTTAGGGGTTTAGGGTTCAAGGGATTAGAGTCTCAGGGTTGATGGTTCAGTGGTCGGTAGAAATATATGCAATAATTATGGTAAGCCTTGTTGGGTTTCGGTACTCAGCCCTCAGGTACCACCCTTTGTACCACTTTGTATCCTTAAGCCGAATCCTAAGTCCGAAGCCCTACACCCTGAGAGCGCTGCGTACTGCCTGCCGGCAGAGAGCGTGTACCAACCCTAAACCCCAAACCTTAAACCCGAGAGGGAAAAAACCTTAAACCCTAATCCCCAAACCCTAAACCCTAAACCCACAACCACCTTAAACCCTAATCCCCAAACCAAACCGTACCCCCTTCCTTCGGGAGTCCGAGGCTTCTACCTCCATAGCCCCACTGGCCAGCTCTTCAGCTGGGATCAGGCGTAACTTGGCCCCCGGAGCTTGTGCTGTCTAGGGTTTAGGGGTTTAGGGGTTTAGGGGTTTAGGTTTTAGGATTTAGGGTTTAGGGTCTAGGGTTTAGGGTTTAGGGTCTAGAGTTTAGGGTTTAGGGTGTAGGGTTTAGGGATTAGGATGTCTGGTTGCATGTTTGGGGGTAACAGTAAAGGTATCAGGACCAACTTGTAACCATCATGGCAACAATGGTGTGCATAACCGTAGAAAAAAGAGTAACAGCTAAGAGCAGTAGTAGTAGTCATACTACGGTTGATGATATAAATCCTGCATTACCCGTAATAAGGAATATACCATAAATCCCATAGTTTAGGGTCCTTAAAGTCATGCAGGATTTATATCACCAACAGTAGTCAGGTGTTCCAGAGCTTTGGGTTTAGGGTCCTTGGCCGTCGTGTTTCCCGGTTTTGGAGTTTTGAGTTTGGGAGTTCGCACTCGTGATTTGAGTTGGCGCAGTTGGGTGCATCTGCCCGGCGCGGTTATTTTACTGGCTTGAAAGGGAACCGCACCCAAAAAGAACGTCAGCCGGTGTTACGAACTCCCAACTTACCCGCCCCCTCCCCCGTTCGTGCCCCCTATGCCGCAAATTTGGTGTCTCGTTCCGAAAACTAACCAACACGAAGAACCGTATGCCCTCTGCTTTGATTTGGGGGAGAACAAAGGCACCCGTGTCATCAAGCGGTCGCTGGAGAATTTCGCTCCCGGAAGGATGGTTTGATATTGAGCTTGCTGCACTGAGTGGACACCCTCACACGTAAAACCAGGTTCTGGGCGAAGGATGGCTTGGTGTTTTGAAATTTGTGGCCCTGAGCTGAGCACTTAACACTCCAGAGCCCTAAACTCCAAGGCAAGGCGTCCTCTACGAGTACCTGCGTGAATCGGGTGAGTGCAAACCCGTCTGGGCTGCTGGTGCTCCACACATGAGTGCCGAAATTTGGACGGCCCCTTTGTAGCACTTTGAACAGTTTAGGGTTGACTGCCTTATTAATGCATAGCTCGTTGATTCTGCATATTCCCTCACTACTCCATCCTTTTGTGTGTCTGAGTATCTATCGACTTGAAGAAATGACCAATGCTTGTGCCTCTCAAAGTAGTCCCCATGCAACCTCTACTCAGCAGGTCCAGCTAGAGTTTGGCTCCCCACCTGTCAAGGTATGCGTACCCTAAACCTAAACCCCAAACCCCTAAACCCTGAACCCCTCAGCCACTTCGCCCTAAACCCCCTAAACCCCCTTTTGAGGTTCAGGGTTTCAGTTTGTCACCCTTTAAGCCCTAAACCCTAAAACCCTAAACATACACTAGCAGCCCCCACCCCCACCCACCCAAAATGCCTTGAGCCGAGGTCCTCCCGCTTCCGCCGACAGATCCTGCCAGTCTACAGCCGCTTTGCTGGGTGCGTGCTCCTTAGGGCTTAGGGTTTAGGGTTTAGTGCCGAATTGGAAAATCTCATGTCGCTTTTCTTGCATTATAGCATGAACCATGTAAGTTATTTACAGCTACATTTTTTGGATGGGTGAGGTTCTCAGGGTCTTGTTAGTGAAGTCATGGTAAGGTGCCCCTCGCATCTTGAAACAACGCCAAGGCTAGGATGCAATAAATCCAGAGCGTCCCTTCCACGCTAAATTGCAAGGGCCTCATGGGAGGGTCACGAACAGTCCCCGCTTACAACTAGTCCCCACATACCAACCTATACCACGCTCCCCAAGGCCTCCAAATTGGGGTTTGTAGCCTAGGGGATTGACTCAGCTGTTCGGCAACCCAGGACTGCCACCACGGAGCAGTCTAGCAGCGTGCTGTGCATCCTTCACTTGTGCCTCGGATGCGGCCAAGGGGTTATGGGCTGAAGTTCTGTAGCCTTTGTGAGGGTCTAGGACCTTCCCCATAATTCGTAGCAGCCCGGGGCCTTAAACTGTAGATTCCCTAGAGACTTTGAACCCAGGGGCTCAGACAAAGATTGTACAACCTCAGGAAGCCCTACGAGCACTTTCTGCCCTATGAGCCCCCAATGCAGCCCGATAGAACCGGGCAGTCTCAGTTTGCAAAGACTCTACAAAATCGAAACTAGGACCTCTCACAACTACTCTGAACCCTATCAGCCTCCCCCCTAATCCTCGCACTTCTGACATCCTGCTCCTCCCTTCCAAAATGCTTGAAATGATGAAAACGTACAACCCCTGAATAATGCACTCTTTCTCCCCTGCGATAGTAGGATGACCTTTAACTTTGTCGGTTGCGATGTGTTCGATCCTTTGCGGTGCCTGGGCGTCTGGGTCTTTGAAACCCTACCAAATCCAGTCCCAGCCAGCCGGAACAAGCGATGCAAGGGGCCTGCATAGTTGGTAACTGTATCCACAGCCCAAATCAAATGCTAAAGGCGCCCTAGACTAAACCCTCTAAAGACGTCCCCCTGAGAAAACCCTTAAAGGAACCCTATTCTGTTCTATTTCTTAAGGAGCCCCATACCATGCGATGCCCCGCTTCGGCAAGGTCCCGAGCCCGGGCGGCACAGAGAGCCGCCGCGGCCTCCGAAGACTTTTGCAAGCGGCTGAGGCTTGGCAACTGCGCCCTCGAGGCTGGGGCGTTGCTTGTTGTTTCGTTTTGCAGCGGGAGGGGGCGGGTGTTTGGGTTTGAGATTCTGACTTTGTTGTTGAATCTGAAGGGTCAGGGCCTCGTTTTGAAGTTTCAGGGCTGCTTCCTGACAGTTGGGGATTTGAGGTTAGGGCTTTTAGTCCTGTGTTTCAGGTCTCCAAGTCCAAGTTGTGAAACTTGAAAGCATGGTTTCTCTAGGTTCAGGGTTCAGGGTTGAAGTGCGAAGCCTTTTTCAAAAGGGTTGAGAGCATGACAGACTTTCAGGCCTGCGCGTGGCTTTTGCTTCTGTTCACTTGCGATGGTGCTCTCCAGCACACTCTTGGGCTCTGCGCTCGAAACCTGGAACCTTGAAACTAGAAAGGCAAAACCTAAACCCCGAAGCTGAGCCCGAGTTACGAGAGCGTAAAGCGTAAGCAACCCCTGAAAGAAGGAAGCCGCTTTGAGCCGCTATATAGTGCCCTAAGAATATAGAACCCTTTGAAGGAATCCCTCAACGGGAACCCTCGAAGGGCCCCTGTCCGAGGCTCTCTTGTCCTTACCTCCGGCGGGCCAAGCCTATGTGCTCAAGACCTTCTGCGCCCCGCGGAGACTTGGGTTTTTCCTTGAGGTTGGGGGGTTTGGGGTTATTGTTTCAGCTTAAAGCCCTTAGGATCGAGGGATTAGGGTATACGGGATTATTATTGGGACAAGGTGCTCAGTGCTTTGGTGAGGAGGGTGGGTTTCGGGTGAGGGTCCGGGGCTTCTGGGGTTAGGGCTAAAGTTTCAAGGTATAGGGTTGAGTGTCTAGGGGTCAGGAGTCGAGCCGTGTCGGATTCTTGGGTTTAGACTAGCGCCCAGCATCCTTCAAGTCAATGGCATTCCCGAAACTGTATGCCAGGTTTCTTCATATGAATTAAAGACTGCCTCACTTCCGAGGCGCGGGGGCTGTTGGGGTGAACTTTGATGCTAAACTGGGAAGCCCTAAACCGTTCATGGTTTGCCTAGGCTAGAGGCCGGGTGTGCGCTTCGACTAGAGGTTTGCCTTCGGAGGGGATGCTTATTGTTCTTAGATGTTGTAAATGTTGTACAGGTTTTGGATGTGTTTTCCATAAGAACCATAGCTTGTGGTCTCTGTTGGGTAGATTCAGGCATGGGTCCGAGACGAAGTCGAAAGGTAAACAAAGTCGCCAGTGCTGCACTGTGCTGAAGCCCCATGACTCAGGAACGATCCGGCCGGCGCATTGTGCCGGCAGGTCGAGGTCTTGCGCCGCCTTGGGAATCAGGCGCCCTACTCTACGGCGCCTCTCGGACAATTCCGGGTGTCGTGCTTCGGGGGTATTCACAATATTCACAGAGGTTAATCTTGGGAATGGGCCTAAGAATTGCTTCGGGTTTGGCCTTTGCATGCCTTTCCTTGTGCCTGGTTTAGGTTCTTGATTTTGGGTGAAGGCATGTGTAGACTTCCAGGTCTTACAAAACTTGCACTTGGCTCTCTGGTTGTTAGTAGGGAATGGGGGAATGGATCCCTATGATAGTCCCTTAAGGTCCCCTATAGTAGTCCCAATAACCCACGCCCCCCTTCCCTACTAAGAACCAGAGAGTTGAAGGCTCCGATCTGCCGTGGCGCCCATGCAAATCCTCTCCCTAGTTTCACTCTTCCCGGTCCTTCCGTCGCGAACTTAGGCTTTGCAGGCTTAGGGAGCTTCCTACGAAACCTAAAATTAAACCTCAACTTGGACCTAAACCCTAAACCACTCTTTAGGGAGGGGTTCCCTAAAGAAATCATAAAGGCCCTTCTTCAGCCCTAAATCCCCACGCCTGTTGCTTAGCAGACGAAGGCTGGAGCAGGCAACCATCCGAGTGCCCACCAGCGGCGCGATCCTCGGGCGCTGCGTTCCGGAGGTGACCGCCCTGTGCTGGCACGACACGGATCCTGTGGCGGCGGCACACTGCCGCATCTCTTGCGACCGAGCTTGATGGCTAGGGTTCAGGGTTTATAAGGGTTTAGGGTTTAGGGGTTTAGGGTTTAGGGGTTTAGGGGTTTAGGGTTGAGTAGCCCTGAACCCTAATGCGGGCTTGTCCTTGCTAAGTAGGAGGGGGGAAACAACTGAACCCTTAACCATACTCTAAGCCCTGTAAGGGTCAGGTCCGGCCTTTCTACCTGCCATCTTCTGAGAATCGCGTCGGACCATTGGAAAGTTCTACAGGTAAAGAGCTTTGGTTTTGGGGGGGGTTTGGGGAAGAGCGTGGAAATTCGACACTTGTCCTGGCGTGACATTGCCAGCCAGTGCAAAAAAAAGTGTTTAGGGGGTACATGGGATGTTATACTGCTGAAGGTGACATTATCCTGGACTAAAATAGCTACCTTGCGTCTCAGCTTGCTCAGGACTTACCAACGAACCACCTAATCAGATATCCCCAAAACCATGAAAAAAACTTCGTAAACCCTCAGATCCCGAAAGTTTTCTTACGGGATGCCCACGTCTTTTTGACAACGGTTTCTACAGGCATCAATGGCCAGTTCTCTGTGTGCGACCTCGGGGCAGAGGAGGAGGGGACACTTTTCGACGGCCGGCGCCTGGGCGCGGCCTGGTGCCCACTGAAGGACCTGAGGCTCGAAAAGGTTTAGGGTTGAGGGTTTTAAGCGATCTTAGAAACATAGTTATAGTTGTTACGTCAAGTACGTGGTATGTGGTTTCCGGTGTGTCCACAAAACACACTGGGGAGCAACAAAAAGTACAACCCCCACAGCTCCCTATGAATCGGAGGATACACAATTGCTTGGTCTGAAAAACCGACTAAAAGCGCCTGGCCTCAGAAGCCTGACCTCCAAACCCTGACCCTATAGAGTCCCCAAGATCCATAAACCCACCCCACAAACCCTGGCAAAACAAAAACCCTAAAGCCGCCTCGCTTGTGAGCATCCTTCTCAGCCATGCGAGAGGGCCAAAAAACCCTAAGTCGAAACCCGTCAGTTCAAGACTAAGCCCCCAAAAATCGCAACACCCCTAAACCCTAAACCCCAGCGTCTCAGCCCCAACGGAAGGACGGGACGAACCTCGACCTGGGTCCCATCCGCATCCGCGTGGAGCTGAAGCCGGTCCAAGCGGCTCCGAGCCAGGCACCTCGGAGGCGATTTTGGTGCTGGTCGTCGTGCTTTCTTTTTCCTGGTGGTGTTAGAGAGGGAGGCCGGGAGAGAGAGAGAGAGAGAGACACAGAGAGAAAGAGAGAGAGAGAGAGAGAAAAATAAATAAATAAAAAGGGCTTGTCCCCCAAAGCACCGTGAGATGCAGCCGTCAAGAATCCGCAACTTCGTCTCTGGCATGACGGCATGACCCCTGTCTATGTAAATGTTCTAGCTCTAGCTCTAGCAGTTTATTACTAACACGCCCAAAATAGCCCGCTGTAGTTACTCAAGCCTTTAATTCAAAAGTTACCCTAACCTTAGGCCCTACACGCTAAGCTTTATACCCCCCCCCCTAACCTCTGAACACCCCTATAGCAAACCCAGACACTCGAGACCTGAATTGAACCCCCCAAAGCGGATCCGCAAGGCAACCATCATTTTCAGCGAAACCCTAAACCCCAAGCCCCTGCCTCCTGGACCATAAACCCAGGAAACCCAGGAAACCTCGCCCAGGTAAGTCCGAGAGCGAGTGCTGAAACCCTAAACCCCGAACCCTCTAACCTAAACCCTAAAACCCTTCATCCAAGTCGAGGCCCAGAAGCCGAGCGCCCCGGCCAAGCGGGGCGCCTGGCGATCTGCAAAGCGCAAGGGTGCGGACGCACCGGCGGAGCCTGAGCCTGCGCAGCCCAAGCGCTTGGGTTCTTGTTATGAATTTTTTAGGGTTTAGGGTTTAGGACCATAGTAAGGACACCGCATTATTTGCGTAACAGTTGAGTAGTATTTGTAAGCGAGAACCCAGGCGCCCCAAGGCGGACCTCAAGAAGATCACGGCTCCACTTCTTCGCACCTCAGTCCCCAAGCAGTAGCCTCTGTTGAAACTTTACTTCGGCTCCTTATTGAAATTGAATAATCGGATAAAGGGTACCGTGATTCTGAGGTTGACCTGGTGTTCAGGGCCAGGGATTTGGGATTTGTTTCCCCAAAACCCTTCTCTTGCCGGAGGTCCGGGAGGCTGTGCTAGAAAGGGTGGCTTAGGGTTTGGGGTTTAGGGTTTACAGCATCATCTTGGTGGCTTGACTACTTCAGGCCTCCATTGAACTCGTCAACGCCCACTCCATGGCCCCAATCCTAGGTAGCATTAGGGAGACCCCTTAAAGGGGACCCTTCTGAACCCTACTTCTGGCTCTCTTAAAGGGCACCTTATTGAGAGGGTCTATATCTCCAAGGGTCCCCCTAATCCTAACCCCCACCCAAAAGCGCGAATCTCCAGTCCCTTGGGCCTTGGCCATGGCCGAAGCCCAGCATCCCAAGCAGCGGGAGCAAGACGGCTTCCACCCAATTTGGGCCAGGCTCTAAGCCCAAGTCCCTGAGCCCCAAACCCTTACCCTCAAGGCCTTAACCTTAATTTTTGAAGCTCTAAAACGTACGACCCTAAGGTTTAAGTGATACCCGAAACTCCCAACCGACTTAGCCCCATTGCCGTGCGCTGCACAAGGAGAGCCTTCGCCTGAGCCACAACCTGCCGGTCTTAGATCCACGGCACAGCTGCAGCAGCATGGCTTTGGGGGTCCTTGTAGGTTTCAATAACGGTTCAGTGTTGCTTTAAGGGTCTCACAAGGGTTCAGGGTTTAGAGCTGTGGGTGTTTTTTTTAGGTGAGGTCGAAGTTTTAGGCTTTTTTACATTATAGGCGGTCAAGTTCCGGTTGACTACATAAGATGGCTGGGCACACAAATCTTGAGCACCATGTAGATCAGACTCCTAGTTGGAACGGTGAAAAACGCTACCACAGAAAGAGCCTCCAAAAGCCCATACGCGCCGTGCTTTTCAACCGTAAGCCTGGTTCGACCCCTAAACCTGGACGGTTTAAGGTTTAGGGTAAAGGGTTTAGGGTNNTAGTGGTATAGGGGTTTAGGGTTTAGATCCCAACTAAGTACCAAGTACTGTTTGGGACTTCTACAGCTGTTGGATTTCCTAAGGGTTCGTGAGTGCAGATGTAATTATGTATGTATGTATGTAT